AGGACTATCTCTTGCCATGGGTCAGGGACTATATTATGGAATAGGTGTTATTAAGATTGTTCCTGTCTGCGCCTTATATTATGTAATTGAAATGTTGTATTGTGGTGTTGCATTGTGTTGACGCTGCTGAAATCGTTTTATTGTGATGGGTAAATAATGTTATTTAGGGTTTGACCTTGGTTATTGGTTAATGTTCACTGTGTAAATATATGTATATATTTAGTTTTATGATTATGTATATTATAACTCAATACATTGTATATAGTTAAGAACTTTGGGCTTGGGCTAACTCTACAGAGGAAAGAGGGATCTGCTTGAAATTCTGGCATCCCTCTCACAGCACCCCCTCCTGCCTACCCATCCCATCCAATTGAGAATAAGGCACACCCTTGGGTGTACCCGGGTTACACAGTTAACTCCTTTTTTGAAAAACTAAATATCTGAAAAAGCAGCAACACAGTAAGACCTACAAACTCCCAAGCATGTTCCTCCTGCCAGGCCATCAAGAGGTCTTTCTCCAGCACCATGTTGACAAACTGACTGAAACTGAAACCAACTTGGATAGGATTAATTACAGGAGTTGTACAGGATTAAAGCATAGGGATATTCCACGGACTCATACTCAGGTACCTGAGACTGTAAGTGGCATTACTCAAAGTGAATGCCCCAATAATGGCTTTCAATCACTCAGTTCTCAGTAGAACGCATTGACAGAAAATATGGGAAAGACCCCGAAAAACAACCTGGCCCTAGGCCTTCTGTTCTTTACCTCTCCTTTCAGGATGAACATTTTTATCCTAGGGAGAAATGGTCTACATAATATTTACAAAAAGTGAGAAAGGGGACCTTCATATCACCTTAGTATCTCCTGAATTCTGGGGCTACTTCAGTTATAAGCATTGCTTTGATTCATTCCAGCAACCCAGCAGCATGGGCCCATCCAACAGCTTGGAATAACTGTAGTATGATGCAGTTATAATTTCTTCCATCTTGGGAACTGGCAAGGAGCCATGAGGAGTGGTTCTGCTAATTCTTATCACAGAATACCACTTTCACCAAGAGTATTCCCTAAGGGAGACATCCAAGAGGGAATCAACCCTGCACTCTAGGCTAACTGAATTCACTCACAGGCACAGGCCACAGGCTCAGTTATAGGCCCAACCAGACATAAATGATCTATTTTGCTATTTCCAACTCTCCCACCATTGGGGAGAACATTTAGAAGAACACTTTGCTTTCTTTCTCTCCCCAAAAAAGGCTTCTCTGAAAACCACTTAATGAGAGCATCATTCTAGACTTCTCCCATGCATGAGAACTCAGAAGACAGCAGACAGAGACGAGCAGATGTTTGGCACATAGACACAGCCTGGGTGGGAGGAAGCAATTTAGGATGAATGGTAAAGATAGATTGTGGAGATGGCTAATTGAGAAGGAGACAGCTAAACTGATCACTGGCAGTGGAAGGGGCAAAGAAACAGATCTCTTGTAGTAGAAATGGGAAAGTACAACTTCAGCAAGGCCATAAAGAAAAGCTAGGCCACAATGGAAACCAAACTAAAATGGAGACCTAAGCCCGCATTAGAGACCCTGCTGCTTTTGGATTTACCATAATCACTCTGCCCTACATCATTTTTCATGTTGCTTATCATCCCACATTTTATATCACTAATTTCCCTTCCCTCTCTGACCCATTGTGCCAATGCCCACCTATATACTAAGGATTACATAAGATCCCAGACCCCTCAGCTCCAATTTCTATTCAAATTGCCCCTTTGGATCCAGGCAAGAATTTGGAATCTGGTTAGAGCACTTAAATACTACAATACATACTAATCTGGACACTTCCCTAGCTTTAGTTCCAGACCACTAAAGATCATATTTATCTAAAGGTTCCTCCACAAACTCTCATCCTGGCCTCCCCTCTGATTCTCCTCTGGATGTTCTGTTGCTATCGTAAAGTAGAGTCTTCTGGCCCCTTTCCTTCCAATCCCAGTTGTGCTCTTGAATCCTCTCTCCCCATTGCTACCATGTCTTGTCCGTCTACTTTGACTAAGTACAGACAGTCAAAAAGCCCAAGGCTGAATCGATACAATCTTCTCAAGTTAGTCAAAGCTGCATAGACTGAATTGATAAGCAAGTGAACAGACATTCGCTTTTGATTCTGTAAATGCAGACACGTGCCTGCAGTGGCCCAAGCCAGAAACTGAGGAGCACTAGAGCATTCATTCCTACTTGGGTGGAGTAGAAAGCTTGGGTCACGGCTAGCCCACCCACACACCCTGGGGGTGGGGGCAGGGAGTTGCCAGGGAGATGCAAAGCATCCTGTGATGCTGGGGGACTGTGAATTAACTTGAAACTGGAGGGGATCTGGGACAGAAGTTCTACAGACTGTTTTAACCTAAATCAGCTAAATCTGATACTACATCCATCCAGGTTTATCTTAAACCAGTTTTGGCCATTTTGAAAGCAGTTTATGTGCCCTGAACTTCTATTGTGTTATAGATTTGAACCGGTTTCTGTTCACTTATACCAGTTTATGTGTATCTTCTGTCCCTAGCCTTTCTGTGCCTTTGTTGAAACCTCCCACATCCTTGGCAGTCACTTGCCTTCAAAACTGTTTTCCGTCTCTTCTCTCTGCTTTACCTTGCCTTAGTCTGACCCAACACAGCTACAAACCTCCCCACTCTGTTCCACAGGACTTAGATTTGGGTATCTGGGAAACAGCTGCACCAAAAGGATCTACAGAAAGGAGTTGACACTGGCTCTTACCATTTTCAGGGTGCTCCATCTCCCCAATACTACCATCAGGTGTGGTGCGCTCATAGTGATCTTCAGGCAGAGCCAGAGGCCCAATGCGAGGCCCTGATGATGATTTGCTGCTGGGTGTCTCCGATTCCTCTAGCCCACTGTCATAATAACTATGTTGGGAGGGGTCCTGCAAGTCCTGTGCCTGACTGGCTGCAGAGAATGTCACTCGGCGATGAGGTAACTGTAAAAAAGAGAAAACAGAGAATCAGTTAAATCAATCACCCACTGAAGAATGATCACAAAACATGACTACTGTGATAGATGCTTAGGGACAAGGAATCCATGCTTTTCCCATCTAACTGAAATGTCTTTCATTTCACAGTGACCCCTCACCATTGCCATTTCTCTTATCAGAATCCATTCCAATGTCAGATCCACCCCATTCATGTCCACATAATTGACCTAATAATTTACCTCAGACCACACACGCAAATGACACCAGTCTTCACTTCAACTGACTCTCTTCTATCTCTCACTCAGGAAACCCTCTAGCACTGTCTTTTGCTTCAGACCTTCCCAGATTGTCTCATCTCTTACCTCAGGGTTCTTTATATCATTATCAGAAACCATGTCTCACCTAAGAGCTTTCCTCTGTTCCACCTCACTTCAGAGACTTCTTCCCTCTTCTGAATGACATCATCCTTTATCTCAGAAGTCTGTTCCACAATTGACATCATTTCACACCCTGATACACTCTCTTCAACTGATATTTCTCACCTTACAAATTCACTTGATTGATGCCATCATTTTTCAGCACCAGAGCCTTATTGACTGACACAAATAAATAGATAACTTTAGAGGCCTTGCTCCCTGACAGACATGATCAGCTCACTTCTCCCAAGCAACACCATTTCTCACCTTAGAAACACCTCCCACAAATGTCTTCTTACATAACAACTCTTGAAATGACACAACATCTAATACTAAAGTCCCTACACCCTCCATACCTAATCACCTCTCATTAGACCAGCTAGCAGTATCCCTGTAAAGAAGGTCCCCAGGCTTACTTGATGCCCTGTCCCTCCTATTAGCATTATTAGTCAATAAACTATGAAACTATTTTGCACCTCAGCACCTATGCATGTCCATACTTCATGTCCATTTTACATTTTAATGTATTAAAATGCATATTTTTGGATGGGCCCAATTTATCAAGCAATCTAGGCTGCTGCCTATGATTTCTGTGTTCTTATCATTGTTTATTAGTCCACCAAACTTTGTGTCCTGCAAAAATGTTATCACCATGATTTTATGTTTATTTTCAGATTACTGGTGAGGAGTACTGGGCATAGGATCAATCCCTGTGGAACGCCACTTAGAGACACATCATTTGATGAAGGCTCCCCACTGATGGGTTTGTTTAGTTTTTTTAATTGTCAGTCAGTTCTTAATTTGTTAATCAGTTATCCAGGTGTATTTACTTAAAAACATTAAGTACCATCAGAGTATGCCTAGCAACTGGTGCTCACCTTTTGCCCATAAGTTTACAATCAGTAGTCTAGGCTATTTAATATCTCAAATTTATATTACTTAGCATATTCTTCCATTGCAAATGGACTGGAAAGTACTTCACCATTCAGACATATTATCCTTCTTCTTTCCAAATATAGAACACAAATATGTGTTGAACATGTCAACCTTGTTTGTACCATTATTAACAGTTTAACAGTCTCTATTTACTAATTGGCATATACCATTGCTAGGATTTCTTTTGCTCCTGATATACATGAAAAAGCTCCCCCTCCTTTACTAACAATGGATTTTTGCCTGATGCTTTTAACTTCTCTTACCAATATTTTATACTTCATAACCACTAATTTATAGTAATTGCTATCCATTTCCCCCTTTTTAATTGATTTTTACTTCCATTTACTTTGTTTATTTCTAATTGTTACCTTTCATTTTGCCATTGAACCAGGGTACACAATTTAAAAAATATAGTAGTCCTGTAGAATTTACTGCCCTAAGACTTGCACCCAGACTCTGGATAAAATGCATGAGGACAGATAGGTACCTATGAATCTGGTTCATAAAAGCCAATAAACTGAGCAGAAAATAATTTAAGCTTGCAAATACAAAATACCAATGGCAGTGGAAAATCATTGATCCTGGTCCCTGTTTGTGCCTTGTACATTAGACAATAATTGGTTAAAAAATATCTGTGGCAGATTGGTAAATCCTTCCTTTTGCTGGGCACATAATCTTGACCGTAGGCTACTGGGAAAAAGTTGGTCTCAACTATATCTAACAGATCATTCCTAAGAAATGAGAGGAATTAGGTAGAGTTTATGTGCTTCCCAGCACTGCTTTGTATTAAAAAGAGAACTTAAGTAGAGTGAAGCTCCTAGGTGGATGGATTAGATTACTCCTGGGTATGCTTGTGAACAATCATCCTTGGTTGGGTCTGCTAGAAAGAAATCTGTCCCACATCATGTTGTAATCTTCTTACACCTCTATAGAAAAGATAGCATAAGGGATTCAAAAGGTTTTTCACAGGAGAAAACCTACTCTTTTATGAAAAAAAATGAGAGCAATAAGAAAGCTCTTCCAATAAGTTTTATAGCACTGCCTTGATAGCTTTACACTTCTTTCTGGGTCTTGAGGAACAGCCCTCCCCCTTCCCCTCCCAGTATCTTACACTCATCTGTTCTCCCTTCCCTGCTCCAAGGGGAAAGGGTGGGGAGCAAGGAATAGGAGATGCTCTGTTTACCAGGGCACCCCTTGGATCATTGGCTCCCCAGTGGCCACCCACCAGTGTCCTGTCAGGGAGCCCTGCAAGGACCCTGCTGCTGCTTACTGCTTCAACACTCTCAGAGAGTCCAGGGTCTATTTGCACCTTTGTCCCCATGCCCCGTGCATAGATCCAGGGTGACCCCAATCTGTGCAAGGGGCAAAGGGCACTCCTGCACAGCTCAGCCCATCGCAACTCAACTGAGAATGGGTCAAGGCATGGAGGAATGCCTCCTCCATCACTAGTTCCCATGATTGGGTCACTGCTTACTTCTGCAAGGGGAGGGAGGCATTCTTGCATAGCTTGACCTGTCCCAGATGTTCTGGAGACAGTACAAACCCTGCTGGATATGCTCCCTCCACCCTCTACACAGAACTAGGGTGACCCAGAACTCTGCAAGGGACAGGGAAGCTATTTCTTGTACCTTGACCCATCCCTGGCACACCTCGGGTAGGTTGAGCTGTGGTGCCTCTGCCTCCTTCCCCATGCACAGAACCATGTCCCCCCATGCATTCCCACACAACTCAACACATCCCACATGTTCCTGGGACAATTTAAGTCTCTCTGCCTCTGATATCCCCTGTCCCTTTCACAGAACTAGGATGACAATGATGAACCAATTAGGTACCCAGGGCAACAGCAAGGGCTTAGACAGTTGGAGTATTGTGTCCAGTTTTGGGTGCTGCACTTCAAGAGGGATGTGGACAACCTAGAGAGGGTTCAGAGGAGGGCCACTCATATGGTTAGGGGCCTGCAGGCAAAGCCCTACAAGGAAAGATTGAAGGCCCTGGATCTCTTCAGCCTCCACAAGACAAGGCTGAGAGGTGATTTTGTGGCTGCCTACTAATTCATCAGGGTGTGGGGCGTCGGGGGGGCCAGCAAGAAATAGGAGATGCTCTGTTTACCAGGGCACCCCTTGGAATAACTAGGAACAATGGCCACAAACTGACCGAGAGCAGATTTAAGTTAGACATCAGAAAAAACTTCTTTACGGTAAGGGTTGCCAGAATCTGGAATGGGCTTCCAAGGGAGGTGGTGCTCCCCCCTACCTTGGGGGTCTTTAAGAGGAGGCTAGACATACACCTAGCTGGAGTCATCTGACCCCAGTGCTCTTTCCTGCCCAGGGCAGGGGGTCAGGCTCGATGATCTGCTAAGGTCCCTTCTGACCCAAACATCAATGAATCTATGAATCTATTAATATAAGCCCTGAGTGGAGCTGGCAGTAAGATCCTACAGGCTGATGAAGGAACATCATTGCAGCAGGAGGGATGCAGCTCCAGAGTGCCAACATGGAAGCAGTCTGGCCCTAGCAGCTGGAGGGGGAAATGCCCCGATTAGGAATGCTGCAAAGTGCCTGACAGACTACTGAGCTGCCTTGAGATTACCAGTGAGCCTCAGGGAGTTTATGGTTATATATAAACTCAACTAGAGGTGACTAGACAGTCACCTTGCTGGGGTCACCTAACCCCCAGTTATTTTTCCTGCTTGGTGCAGGGGGCTGGACCCAATGGTCTTCTGAGATCCCTTCTGGCCTTACAATCTATGACTATCCAGTTGCTGGGATTTATGTGGATACTTAATGGGGACTGCCACAAGTGTTTGTCTGCCTGCCTTAAGGTGGAAGGAGAAGGTTTTTCTTTTTAAATACCAGTGTGCTGTTTTCCTGTTCTGTTGGTGTTGGTGGTTCCAGAAGGAGAGTTTGCATGATAGCCAGGGGGCTTATCTTTTGGTTATAGTTCATTATGGTGGTTTGAGGTCAGGACTGTGAGGAGAGGTTCCTGGAGGTCCCATTAGTGTCCAAGGGGAATGTAGTTGCCTTGAGCCCTGCTGGGGACAGACTTAAGGCAGAGTGAATGACAAGAGCCCAGAGCAGAGCAGAGTGTGGGGCTGCAGAAACCAGAGCCCTGAGAGGGACGAAGACAGGGGCCAGGGGTTCAATGCCTAAGAGGGCAAGACTAGAGCTGGTGCCTAGAAGTAAGGTCCAATATACTGGGCCCAGGCTAGAAGGCTCAGCTAGAGAAAAGGGGTGGAGGCTGAGAAATCCAAAACCCCAACAGGAGTGTGACAGTATAGTGACACCTATGAGGCACGGGATGTGGTGTAGGGGAAGACAGAGCCACCTGCTTACCCAGATTCATCCTCAGAGATCCCAGGGATGCTTCTAGTAAGCAGAGAAACCTCATCTTTCCCTGCTGACACAGAAACATCCTCTGAGATCCCAGGGGCATGTTTCAGTAAGTGGGTAAAGCCAGGCAAGCACTCCAAGGGCTTGGGGGACTGATTCTGCCCAGGAATTCCTAGGGTGTCTGCCATTATTTTCTTCCTGGTTCCAATAGGCCCCTACTAATTGTATGACCAGACACAGAGAAGTGCTTAATGTCCAGAAGATTATCTTCAATTCCTCCTGCACTGTCTCCAAAGGGATTTTTACTGCTATGTGATGCAGAAGT